GAAGGGGAAAGAAGAGGAGGAAGAGAAGCGAGTGATGGGGGCAGGGCCTCGGGGGAAGAGGCAGAACAGGGATGGGACCAGGATGGTTATGGTAGTAGACAGTATGGGGCAGGGCTTTTAGGCAACAAGTTATTAGCAGCTGGAGTGGTGGCAACCTTGGATGGTGGGTATAATAGACCAGAGAAGGCTGCATCCCCCTCTGGCATAACTACAGCTGTCCAACACTGGTTTGGTGGATTTGGTGAGGAAGTTTTGGCTTACTATGACCTATACTGGTTCTGGTTTGGCCAAGGAGGTAGTACGTGATATGCAGCTTCTTGGGTTCATCAGTAGTCTCTCTGGACTTCAGGGAGATTACTGATGAACCTGGGAAGCTAAGTAGCACATACTGCCTCCAAAGCCACCCGAGAGCCCACAGGGGGCATATCAAAAGCTCAGGTTCTTCTCACAGAAGAAAGGAAACAACAGGTTTTCCTACAGCCCAGTTAGTGGGGCACCATCTGGCCTAAGGTTCATCAGGCTGAGGTGGGAATGGACAACTCAGGGCTACTCCAGCTGAGGGCAGGACGACTCAGGGCTCCTTTGGGTGATGGGAGCTCCTGCTATGAGGCAGAGGGGTCAGTGCTACAGCCCATGGGGTGTGTGAATATGGAAGGGGTGGAACTAGCCTCCCCAAAATGGGTCTCTACTTACAACCCTAGTTAAAACAGGAATAAAGTCACAGCAATCTACCTTTTAACTGATTAACTGTTGAGTTCTCCTCCAGACTACCCTATAGGGTTTAACTCAAGCTGCTTGGAGCTGCCAGGTCTTCACTTCTGTTTTAACTTGATTTTGCTAATGCATGTTAGCAAACCTGAGTTAAGCACATACTCTATTGGGGGAGTAGCGGTATGGACATCCTTAAGATTATATTGCAGGCTGTTTTACCTTTTTTAGGTTTCTGTAAAACACTTGTCACCATTTTTATTTTGTATTACAAAGACGCAACAAGGAAAGACTGTATGCCCCTTTTTTGTGCATTTTATTCAGTCTGTTGTGCAGCAAAATTCTGTAATCACAGAATTACTACCAGACTAGAATTTGCAGTTCACACTACTTAATGAAACATCTCTTAAACAGATCTTTCCTGCATCTAGAACCATGGAAACACCCTTCCCTCCTTAGAATGAGGTGACAAAACCACACATGTTGCCTGCATGGCTCTGAATTGCTGCTGCCTCCATTAGGGATGTAAGCGACTAGGCTTGTTGGGTAGTCACGTCAATACTCGACTAGTCACTTCCCCCCCAAGGAGGGGGGAGCTGGAGCTGGTACAGGGGGGGAACTGGCTTAAAAGCTGGTTGTCCCCCCAGCACAGTCTCCGACAAGGGCAGGGGAGACAGAGGCTCAGTGGGGGATTGGATGCGGGCCGGTAATCAACTGTCCTGGCTCGCACCCCATCCCAGACTCCGCACCTCTGCCCTTTAAATGTAGTAAGAACTGCGAGGCTCTTAGTAAATTTAAAAGGCAGCGGCACAGCAGGGTTAGCTCTAGGGAT